GCACAACCCTGAAAGATAGGGACCGGTACTGTACCGCTCGCCTGGGCTATGGCAGTCAGGGTGTCAACAAAGTCGGTGAGGGTGAGAGCAGCAGGGTGGATGCGGGGCCCAGGGAGGAGCGCGGCAGGGCCCAGGAGGGGCGCAACAGGCCCAGGAGGGGCGCTACGGGCCCAGGAGGGGCGCAATGGGGGGCCCAGGAGGGGCGCGGCGAGGCCCAGGAGGGGCGCAATGGGGGGGGGGGCCAGGAGGGGCGCGACGAGGCCCAGGAAGGGGCGCGACGGGCCTAGGGACGGTCGCGACGGGGCCCAGGAGGGTGGATACGGGGCCCAGGGAGGGGCGCAATGGGGGCCCAGGAGGGGCGCTACCGGCCCAGGAGGGGCACTACGGGCCTAGGAGGGGCGCGACGGGGCCTGGGAGGGGCACGACGGGTCCCAGTAGGGGCGCTACGGAGCCCAGGAGGGGCGCGACGGGGCCTGGGTGGAGCGCGGCGGGGCCCAGGAGGGGCGCTAGGGGGCCTGGGAGGAGCGCGACGGGGCCTGGGAGGGGCGCTAGGGGGCCTGGGAGGAGCGCGACGGGGCCTGGGAGGGGCGTTACAGGGCCCAGGAGGGGCGCTACGAAGCCCAGGAGGGGCGCGACGAGGCCCAGGAGGGGCGCTACGGGGCCCAGGAGGGGCGCGACGGGGCGCTACGGGGCCTGGGAGGAGCGCGACGGGGCCCAGGAGGGGCGCTAGGGGGCATGAGCGGAAGCGGGAGGTGGGGGGGGGTCCTACCTACGCGTGATACCATATCATAATTAGAATTGAATAATGTGAGAGAGAGAGTATACAAACATATACCTAAATGTTGTACTCTCTAGAAGGTGACCCTATACAGTCTATACAAACATGATAACTACACATGTTTGACAGCATATGTACAGAGCATCAAAGCAATCACTTCTATAATTGAAATTTGGATCCCAGATCAATATTTCGCTCCGTTTTGCTTTGGTCGAGGCATTTCAATCCAAGTTATATTTCCTGATTCTTTTATATTCTATTAAGGGATTATTTGGTAAATTATCTAGATGTTGTCGGAATCAGTTGATCCAAATCCTTAAATTAAGGAATCAAAACACTCACGGCTCTGTGAATGATTACCGTAGAAGGTTGCGGACTCATCAAGAACCCTTTTCACCCTATATCGCGCACAGACTTTGCCTTCCCACCAACCGCCTGAGATATTTGCCCCCTTGCTGATCCTCGTCGATCCAAAGGCAGGTCACCACACCAGGTCAGCAGAGATAAGTTGGTCAGGCATATTCCCCAGGAGTGCATTTTAGCGGTAGGTATTCTTTGCAATTTCTAACCTAAATCCTAGAATCCTGTTTGGTTCGCGATCCCTCATATTCCGCATGATGGCCAGATGTCGTCTAGCCCCTTCTCGCACTTTTCTCCTCCTCCTATTGGTTCTTCCCTTCGCCGCATTCCGAAGAGCTTCGGCGGTTCGATTCACGCTTGACCGCTTCGATTGCCTGTCGTACTACGTGCATTACGTCGGCGACGACGTGCATGGAAACTTCGTCGTCGTCAGTTCGCAAACGTGGGGCGACTGGGAGTCTCTCGGCGTCGACATCGTTGTAAGCACAGCAAAAATGGCCCCTTCACGCGCTCTCGTTTGAATCACAGCGCGATACTTCACAGTCACTATATAAATCACCCCTATGCCTCACCGATTTGCCTCTTCACCTATCAAGCAGTCAATTAAGGCTGTTCGCTAACGCTCAGGCAATCCGAATGCATCATTTTCTAGGCAATTCAAAAGCACAGCCAGTCTTCCCGTACTTTCACTGTGCAACCTCGCAAATGAAAGACCCTGATGGCTATCGCGCGCACTCGACTCAGGGCCAGACGGAGAGAGGGGGCATTCGAACTCGAGTCGATGCGCGTTAAACAGCTCCATCCACTCTCTCCCTCCTCCCCCCAACCCCCCTCCCCTCCCCCACCCGCAACATTCCCCCTCCTGCTCCTCCCACCCCCCTCCCCTCTCCCCCCCCTCGTCCCCCACCCCCAACATTCCACTCACTCGCCTAGCGTCTTGGTTCTGCAGGTTTGGACCCCGACGGCTGCCACGCGCACGCGGGGCAGGGCCAGACGGAGGGCGACTATTGAGTGCGCTTCAACCCCTCCTTTCCCTATCCGGTGGTCCCACAGGTGGCGGACCCTGACGGGTACCACGTGCACGGGGGGGAGGCCCAGACGAAGGGCGTATTCGCGCTCGAGTCGAGTCCTTGGAGGAGGGCGACTACAAGGTGTGCTTCACCCCCTCTTACCCACCCTTCTCCCCCTTACTCACCCCCTCCCCAACCTCCAATCTCGGCCATGCTGGTCGGAGACCCTGGCGGGTATCACGTGCACTCGGCTCGGGGCCAGTCGGAGGGCGTGTAATTGAGTGTGCTTCACCCTCTTTTTCCTTCCTACCTACTCGGCTATGCAGGTAGAAGACCCCAGCGGTTACCTCGTGTTCTCGGGTCAGGGCCAGAGGGAGGGCGTGTTCGAGTTCAAGGCGATGCGCAAGGGCAACTACAAGGTGTGCTTCACCCCCTCTCCCCGCCCACTCCGTTGGTCCCACAGGTAGAAGACCCCGACGGCTACCACGTGCACTCGGCGCAGGGCCAGACGGAGGGCGTGTTCTCGTTTGAGTCGATGAGGGAGGGCGACTACAAGGTGTGCTTCACCAACAAGTCGCCCGTCAACGAGGAGATCGTGTTTGACCTGCATGTGGGGCACCACTTCACTGAAAAGGAGCTGGCCAAGGAAGGTATGTTGTCCTGTGTGCTATGCTATGCCATGCCATGTGTGCGTGAGTGGGGTTGAGCGGATGAGGGAGGGCGAGTGCAGGAGGAGCTTCACCAGCAAGCCGCCTGTGAACGAGGAGACCGTGTTCGACCTGCACATGGGGCACCACTACAACGACAAGGAGCAGCCAATGACATGCCATGCCATGCATTGAACCTGGACGAGCGGGTATTGGTGCTCTTTTTGAAACTCCCTCCCTCCCTCCACACCTCCCTCCCCCCTCCCTTCCTCCCTCTCTCCCTCCCTCCCTCCCTCTCTCCCTCCCTCCCTCCCTCCCTCCCTCCCTCCCTCCCTCCCTCCCTTCCTTTCTCCCTTTCTCCGTGGTTTTTTCTTGTCAACTCGCCATCAGAGCACGTGGAGCAAACGAGGGACAAGGCAAAGAACCTGTACGAGCGGGTGATGCTGCTGTCGCTGCAATCCAGATTCCGACACAATCAGGCAGAGCGGCTAAACGAATGTAAGCAACGGAGGGGGGCTGCACAATATGTAAGGGCAGTCAGAACGGGAGAGGATGAATGCTGGGGCAATTAAAGAAGGCAGATTGGAAGTCACTATTGAGTTGAGAATGCAGACGCATCATAAATGTTAGGCTGAGAGGCTGAATCAATGTAAACAAGTTAGGGGGGCTGGACGGATGTAAGGGTGGTGAGAAAGGGAGAGGATGAACGCTAGAGCATATGAAAAAAGGCAAGTTGGAAGTCTCATCACCATCTTCAGTCTCCACTCCCGCCTCCTTCATTTTTCGCCTCTCCCTCTCCCCTGAAAGCCTGCTCTTCTTCCCCAACTCGTGGATCCATATGGTGCTCTCCCCGTGGCTAAGACCGGACCAGTGCTAAGACCACCTCAATGCTCACACTGCTCCTCCTCTTCGTCACCCCCTCACTCCCTCATCCCCACACACTGCTCCCTCACTCCCTCGCCCCCTTTCCCCCCTCGCTCTCCCTCACCCCCTTCCCCCCCCTCGCTGACCCAACCCCACTTCTCGCATCCCCAGTGGCTAAGACCACCACGTGGAGGCTTGTCTTCAAGACCGCCGTCCAATCGGGAGCACTCATTCTTTGCAGCTCAATCCAAGTGAGATGCTACAGTGCTATTCAGGTGATGCTACAGCTATTCAGGTACTTGTACGTGCTCTTCAGGTGATTCTACCATGCTACTCAGGTGATAGTACTGTGCTATCCAGTTGATTCTGCAGCGCTATTCAGGTGATGCAACAGTGCAGTGCAGTCCAGGTGAGGGATTCTGCTGATTCTTCACAGCAATGTATATGTCAAACTAATTTGGAAGGGCCTAAGGGATAAAACAATGGTTGCATTGCTGCACTGCCCTCACAATGGTCATCTTCCTCTTTCTCTCCCTGCCCTCAGCATTTTGTGTGCAGCCCAGGCGCTGTATCCTAACCCATACTCAATCCCCTCCCTTCTGGGCTTGTGTATCTCGCTCCCTACAAACAAATCCCCTCTCTCGCTCCCTACGAACAAACCCCCCCTCTCGCTCCATACAAACAAGTTCCCTCTTGTACCCTAAACCCTTGCAATCCCCCCAACCCTCTCCCCCCCCCACAATTCTCCTCCTGGCTTCACCGCCAGGTGGATCTGCTGTACCACCTCTTTAAGTGGAAGCCAGGCCGGTCAACCTTGCTTTTTGTTCTGATTCCCCCCCTCCCCTCCCCCTCCCCTCCCCCTCCCCTCCCCCTCCCCTCCCCCTCCTCTCCCCCCCAACAACTCCCCTCGCTCATCTCATCGGGCCAGGTCTATCTGCTGCACCGACTCTTCAAGAAGAAGCTAGGCCGGTCCCTCATGCTTTCCACCACCACCCCGCTTTCCCCCTTCCGTCCCCGTGCCCTCGTGTTCGCTCGGCCCTCCATCCCTTGCGTTCATCTCATCCGCCCAGGTCTATCTGCTGCACCGACTCTTCGAGAAGAAGTTAGGCCGGTCATTTGTTTGACTTGGTCGGTGCTACAACGGCCATATCTGTGCCCTGAGCAAGGGAAGGGAGGGATCCAAGCTCTTTTCTCCATGCAAACAACTTCATGTCATGTGTGCAAACAACTTCATGTCATGTGTGCAAACAACTTCATGTCATGTGTGCAAACAACTTCATGTCATGTGTGCAAACAACTTCATGTCATGTGTGCTAACAACTTCATGTCATGTGTGCAAACAACTTCATGTCATGTGTGCCCTCCAGGCCCTCAGATTTCAGTGTGGCCTAAAACGAATCTGAGGGCCTGGTGCCCTCGCTATTGGAGTTTGAGCAGCACCCATTCCTCATCCTTAATCACTGCAGCATCTCCGTTGCACCACATTAGCCAGTACAGCTGTTGCAGAGCCGCCATTGCACCAAACCCACTGGGAACTACTGAACCAGCCAATTCGTTTGCAAACTGCAGTAGTGCTGTATAACTAATGGACTGTTCACAGGCGGACTGAAAATGCGAAGCCATGAGATAAGACACACCCATGCAACATCAGTCACTATCCCGCATGCTTGAGGCACCTCACAATGAGTCATGAGGAAGCTCTGATCTAGCCTTCGGCACTCCACAAATGCTGTTTATTGTCAGCCTTTGAGCCACCTTGAGATGTCATTGTCACCTCTGATTCGGCCTTTCAGCGCTCAACCTGAACCTCCAGGCGCTCCAAAAAAAACCGTTGCAACATGTGCAGCATAAGGCTCCACCTCCATGCGCTCTTAGACTCATGAGCCGACTCAACAGCTGCTTGTGCTCGAGGCAGTTCACTTCAGTCAGCCCTCCACCTGAACCTCCAGCGGCTGCAGCAACTCCTTTGCAGCACCTTCATATGCCTCCATGCCCTCGTCGTTGAACAGAATGAAATGCACCTGCAAACATGCACGTACACACACAAAAATAAATACACACAAATGCACGCAGACATGCACATGCACATGGAGGTATATGAACATCAGATGTACCTTTCTGTAGTGGGATTTCTGTGCATAGGTGGTCCCTTTTGAAACCTGAACAGAAATCCCACTACCGTAAACGCCCGGATAGAAGACTCCCATGGAATAGAAGACACTATGTCTTGTATTATGCATCTATCTTGTATTCGGCCTCTCCGTTTATAAGACACACTTTTAAAGTCAGTATGAGACTCAAGTGACCTACACTCCCTAAAACCTCGGTTAGCGCTTTCTGCCCACCCAAAAAGGGCTCCGTTTATAAGATTTTTTTCCATTTATAAGAAACCCGGACCCCCTGATTTTTTCCGTTTATAAGAAACTTCACCACTTTCTTGCTCGTACAGCTGGCGAGGTGTCGCACTGATTCTGATCCCCCTGTGACACTCGAGAAGCAAACCTGGTCCCAACTTGAAAAACGAGTTGGGTTCCAGAGGAAAAAAACGCACATGCGATTCCTTCTGACACGCTAGTCGCTCAAGTCGCGAGCGCGTCAGATGGGTCGCAATGCACATTTCGCCAGGCTGTTTGTTGCGTCAGCCAATCAGAATCTAGTTTTTCATTTCAGACTCCTTTCCATCCGAAAAAATGAACAGTAATTCTAGTCAGTCATCCTATACGTCCACGAATTTTCAAAGACAAATGTTCAAGTTGGGCCCAGCTTTGCCCAAAACGTTCATGCTTTAGAAACACGACGTGCTACAGTGAAATATTTTGTGAGTGAAGATACTGTTGATTTCGGCAAACCTGTCGCGAGTGTATTTCGCTGCGCTTAGTCAGCGAATCCCAGGGGCACTGGTTGGGTTGGGATGCAAAAGTCCCAAATTGCAATGACCCCCAGTTTCAAGTTCCCGCTGGTCAACACACGCAAACACCCCCAGTCAAGATTTCGACCAATCAGGTGCCTTCGCCATGTGTGCAGCCCCAGTTTCGTGAAAAAAGGCCCCAAAATCGTCAGATTTCATCTTTCTAAAGCTTGAACCACGCGACACGCAATTTGGGACTCGGGCTTTAAGCCAGGCTGACCAATGAGTCGACCCGAAAGCCCCTTCACAAATCTGAAGAGAAAGGTTTTGCGTCGACTTAAAAGGAAAACTGAAGAGAAAGCGCACTGCATCCGAACTCAAGATCACTGACCTCGGAAAAGCTCGCACAGGTTGCTTGAAGCGCCTTGAGTGAAACCTGAGCCGCATCGGGAAAGGGGTACCTGCACAGGTGTTGCACCACAGCAGATGATTGCACAGAACACAAATGGAACAGGCAGCTACCTCGCCCGTTCCATGCCCGTTCCATGCCTTCTTCACAAACGGGCTAAGAAAGAAGCAGCATGGGAGAAGGCAGCTAGCTTGAAACGGTGAGACTACCTAGCTACCGGTAGCTGAAGAGCCAGAAGGTGAGCACAGCAGCTGATTAGAACGCACGTGAATGATGAGAGACTAACAAGCTACAGGAACTTAAGTTGATGGATAGTAAAGGTTGGTCACCTAAACTAGCACCGGTAAATTGCATGCACTCACAATCTACAGTGACTCACACTCATGCATGGATAGTGAATGTTTGAGGCGTCTGAAATAATTATAATAATGACGCTCTGTAGGCCTTCACCAACAAAATATCGATACACAAATACATGCTTAAAAAAAAGGATTCACCCGTAGATGCCGCAGGAAACTGCTGGGAAGGCGATGAACTTAACGCCTGCCTTGCGTGCCTCCTCCATGGATCGGCTGATGGGGAGGAGTGGGCAGCGGGTAGGGTGGGGGATTGCGACAATGAGGGTGGGTGGGGTGGTATGAGCCTGGCAGGTTGGATGGAGGCACAATAAGGGTGGGTTGGGTTGGGGTGAAGGTTGGAACGGCAGTAAACTTGATGGCTCCTCCATGGAACGGCTGATGGGGAGTGGGTGGGCAGCAGGGTGAAGAATTGAATGTAATGTTAGGGATAATGAGGACAGGGTATAAATAAGTAGGTCACAAGGGATTCACACTGACCAGAGCTGACTAACAAGGTTGACTCACACGTAAGAAGATTGCAGCAGAGGCTCGGAGCGCTCAGCAGACTCGTAGATGGGCCCCACAGTGTGAACCACATGCTTCACTGGCAGCTCTGCAGCCCTGGTAGGGGAGCAGCAGTTCCAGGCAGGAGGGAGAGAGACGGGAGGGCAGGGAGGGGCGCATAGCACCCGCCAGACTTGTAGATGGGCCCCACAGTGTGGACCACGTGCTTCACTGGCAGCTCTGCTGCCCTGGTAAGGAGGTGAGGGAGGGGAGGGAGTGGCTTGGAGCGCTCATCTGACTCACAGGAAGGAGTTGGATGAATCCAACAGTGTGAATCACAAGCTTACCTGGCAGCTCCGCAGCCTGCAGCCTACAGCTCCGCGGACTACAGGCTGTAGCTCTGCTGCCTACAGGCTGAAGCTCTGCTGCTGCAGGCTGCAGCTCTGCTGCCCGGGAAGGGGTATGGTGATAGGGGATCGAGGCGCGAGAAGGGTGCACCTACAGCCTACAGCCACCATACCCTGTGCCTACATCCCTTACAATCACACTCGTTGGAATCACCCCCTCATCCAGTTTTACCCACCATACCCTGCGCCTGTGCCGACGTCCCTTACAAGCACACTCGTTGGAATCACACCCCTACCCAGCTGTAGCTGCCATCGCCTGTCGCACAGCCTGGCCAGTGGGGCATCTAGCTCCTCTGCGGATTTGAATCTCCTCTTAGCATCACACCCCTCACAATCACACCACCCCAGTCACACCCCGCACAATCACCCCAATCCCATCTGGCATACCCTGTGCGCACAGCCTGCCCCGTGGGGCATCGCACTCCTCTGCCCACCTCCGGCACCGCTTTGCACTCCCTCACTAGCCCTGGCCCTGCCGCCCTGTGGATGGCTGGGGGCACGGGGGAGAGGGAAGAGGGGGGGGAGGGGGGGGGGAGGGGGAATAGCCATTGCACTCCTCTGCTCACTTTCGGCACCGCTTTGCACTCCCTCTCTAGCCCTGGCCCTGCCGCCCTGTGGATGGCTGGGGAGGGGGGGAGAGAGGGAGGAGGTGGGTGGGAGACGGGATAGAGGAGAGAGGGGAGGGAGGAGGGAATAGCCATTTCGCTCCTCTGCTCACTTCCGGCACTGCTCTACACTTCCTCACCCGTGCTGGCCCTGCCGCCCTGTGGATGGCTGGAGGGGGAGGGGAGGGGTGAGATGGGAGACGGGATAGCGGAGACCGGGCAGGGAGAAGGGGCGAGTCATTTCACTCCTCTGCTCAGTTGCTGCACTGCTCTGCACTCCCTCACTAGCACTCCCTCACTAGCACTCCCTCACTAGCACTCCCTCACTAGCACTCCCTCACTAGCACTCCCTCACTAGCACTCCCTCACTAGCACTCCCTCACTAGCCCTGCCGCCCTGTGGATGGCTGGAGAAGTGGAAAACGAGAGGGGGAAGGGAAGAGGGGAGATCAGAGGGGGAGTATGGCGGTCAAGAGAGTCAGGCACACGGCGCCTTGGATATGGTGAAGATACACCTTCTCGGAATGAAAAATAATAATCTTACCTCCAGAATGACTATCTTACCTCCAGAATAGGTACCTTACCTCCAGGATAGGTACCTTACCTCCAGGATAGGTACCTTACCTCCAGGATAGGTACCTTACCTCCAGGATAGGTACCTTACCTCTAGGGTAGTCATCTTACCTCCATCCACTCCTCCTCCTCCAAGCATTCTCTCGTTGGCTGCATTCACCTGTGTATATGCACACAGACATACATGCACGCACTCGTGCACGCACACATGCACACACACATGCACACATGCACGCTCACACCCACACATGCACACATGCACGCATGCACGCACACATGCTCGCACACTCGCACACATGCACACACGCACACACGCACACACGCACACACGCACACAGGCACGTACACATGCACGCACACATGCACACACATGCACGCACACATGCACGCACATGCACACATGCACATGCACACGCACACGCACGTACACACACACGCACACACACACACAGGCACACTTGCACGCACACCCACATAGACAACGCACACACGCGAGCACAAACACAAACATTTAAAGCACCTCAAGGGTGTGTGGTCGAGTGTGCGAGTCCTGCTGAAGGGGACCGTAACAGGAGTGAGAGCATCCTGCTCTGTTTCCATTCGCTACAAGAGCACTCACTATTCGCCATATAAACGCATATAATAGCGAACCAAAGACGAACCGAATACTTTACTCCATGTGTAGTTTCCCACTCGTTACAAGGCCACTCACTATAGCGTCTGTCCGCCCGTCCACGAACCACCGGGTGAGGTCCCCCCGCTGCAGCACCAACACGCACCCCTCCTCCCCCAGCAAGTACGCGGAAGCTTCCTTGAACAGAACGCTGTGCGGCTGGCGCAGCTTGTAAGCTGCAGGAGCAGCGGGGGACGCGGCAGGGATGGAGTCGGGTTCGGCAGACAACTCATAGTCGCGCTTCGCCTTCTTCGCCGCGTTTTCTGCCGCAACCAGCGCTTCCTCCGCCTCCGCCTTTTCCGCTTCTCCTGCTGTCGATCCCTCCCCTCCTTCCGCCGGCCGCTCCGCCTCGTACGCAGCAGCGGGTTCCGCGGGGGCGACTTGCGGCGGAACTGCGTCCGCGGGGGTAGCTGAGTCCGCCATTCCGCTTTTCGCGGGACTGAATCGAGATCGGACGGTGCAGAGGCTTGCTACGCGGCTCTTTTGGAAAAGGCTGGTGGTTCGGCAATCCCAAGGTGTGGCCTTGGAAGGGAGATCGGTCGGCGGTGACGAATGAAGCGAAGGGAAAAGCGAAGCGAAGACGAAAATAGAGGGGAGGCTGCTAAAAGGCGAGAGCTTGACGATAGGCGCGGATGAAGATCGGCGCGCTGTGACGAAAGCGGCGGCAGTGACACGATCTCGTAAGGAGGCGGTACTACCAGTGGTACCCTGTCTAGTAGTACTACCAGTAGTGCTGGTTTCACGTAAAGCGGTGGGATGAGAGCGGAGAAGGCGGGACGAGGATAGGCAGGCTCGCACCATGGGCTTGGCGCGCAGTCAAGACGGCCGGTTTAGGCGGACGCGACGGAAAGGTAGTCAGAGTGGACAGCCAATAACGCTGGAGAGGGTTGAGGCGTGTGTGGCAAGGCACTGCCTTGGAGTGAAGGTCGGTGAGGGCGCGCTCTGCGCTCGGGGCATCATTTATACTGACACGATGAATCTAAGTCGGGGCTCGGGCCATCTCTCCCGTATAGCGGACGCTGGAAGTTTGACTCGGGGCTTGCCCCGAGCGCAGAACGCGCCCTGACATCGGGGGATCGGGTATTGGGAATTCAAACGACTTCGAATTTGGAAGCGGCTCGAAGAGGCTGCCTCGCTATTCGTACAATCATTCGAACGCATACAAGTTCATACAAGCATTGTTGTGTTCCGCCAGGACACAAACTTTGAAATTTGTATGTTCGAACGGCGGCGACAAAATGCGACAGGACACACTTCACATTCATCGCAAATTTCGCCACCTCCCAACCAGCCCAAAGTCGCCTCGTTTACTTGACTCCCAAAGCTGAGGGATGCGCGAACAGAAATGCACAAAGTGGCACTGACTCACACACACATTCCACCATTCAATTCACTCACGACAATGCAAGGACGAGAGTCAGGGCGAATCAGCAGCGTGTGTGGGAAGACCGCATCGAGTTCTGGTGGCCCGAGCTCTTCTACGATGTGCTGTGCGTAAACCGAGACGTCTTCAACTATATTGTACGCGCATATCGCCATAAATTCACCAGTGCCCTCGACACGTCTGTATCGAATCATGGCCCGACAGGGAGCAGCTAGGGCGCATGGCGAATAAGTTTCGCTAAGAGTTTGGCATCCCAGGCGAAGTTGGGGCGATGGACGGCACCTATGTACGGTGCCGTCATGTTGGGTAGCACAAGGAAGATTTCAAGAATCGGAAAGGATTTTATTTGCTTATATTGCAACTAATCTGTTATTCCAACGGACTGATATTGGACTATGTTGCAGGGGAACCCAAGAGCGTCAACGATGAGAGAGTCCCCCAATGGTTTCATTGAAGCGGAGAGGGTCGACGATTTTTGCATAGTAAGCGATACGGCGTACGGCCTACGCTCTTACATCTGTGTGCCGTACCACATGCCTTCCGGCGACACCCTGCGAGACGAGGAGTTTGAAAACACAGTAGAGGATTATACACCAGCGTGATTGTCGAACAAGTAATGTGGGCATTTGAAAACACGGTGAAGGATTCGCGACGAGAGGATAAATTGACATCCTCGTCGAGTGATGCAAACGGTGGGAGCACTGTAATTGTGCTTCACAACGTGGAGTTGACTCTCCGCATGCGCGTGTACATCAGGAAAGAGGAGCCCCATCATAGGTGGTGGTTGCGGGGCGGCTTGTATATACCAGTATCGCAGTATGCGGTTTCTTTTCCTAGTCTTTAAAGTACGAGGATGACGACGAACCTCACCGCCTCTTACGAGCTCGCGCACCCTGGTATGAGCGCGCAACCTCACGGTTGAGTTGCTTGAACTCCTCCCACTGCTTTTCTTGGCGCTCGTCCAGTTGAGTCGTGAGGTCCGCGATGTCGCGGCGTAGACTAGAGCAAGAGTTGCACGGTAAAACTTCATGGCGCCCAGCCGAGGACCGCTTTGACGATCGCATGCCCTCTATGTTCCTCCAGGCATCTGCGCGAACTCCTCTTCCCCCCGTCCGTCGCAGGTTTCCTACCCCACGAGAGGCGCTGCGAGCACAACAAAACACTCGTTGGAGGACTGCTAACGCCTGAAAGCGGCCCAATGCTCGACAGTGAAGGCGTCGCCCGGGCGCCGGGAACGGCGGGGATACTCGGCGCCAGCGAAGTGCCTTGGTGGCGACGAGCTTCCCGCGTCGCTGTCAGCGGAGTGGACATCGTGCCAGGCGGCATCGCGGTTTCCCCTGCTATGGCATTGTTGTGTATGGAGGGGGGGGGATTGACATCTGCGTGGCATCCTGTGTCGTCCAACGGTGTCATGTCTGCGAATATGCCACGGGGGGGAGGGGGTTCGGTGGGGAGCAGTGGGATTTGTGAGCGGGTTTGGCCATAGGAACACAGTACAAATATTTAGCAAAAGTCTTTCAGTTAATAAACATGTTTCCGCGTCCCACCGATTGCTCACCAACGCATATGTATGTTCTATAAATGTCGTACCGAAAGATGTGTACTCACCTTCGTCATTTGGAGCGGGGTTGGTCTCATCGTCGTCGGCGGCGGCGACGGGAGTCCTTGCGAGGTGCTGGGGCACACCAGTGGGGCAAGTTTCGAAGAGCTCGTCAAATATGTCGTACCACACGGGCACGCCGCGTGGTCAACCAACCCCGATTCAATTCGCCTATTATTATTTCCATCATGGGTCGGGTCAGTGCATTGGATCATTTTTGGAGTAAGTTGCCTTGTCACAGTAGGGGCATAGTAGGCAAACGTGGAATGCCGGGCTTGTGTTACGTGGTGAATCTGAAATGGTCCAAAGTAGCGCGTAGTTTAGGCAAGATGGGCGGTCGCATGTTCTTAGTATCGAGCAATACTAAGTCCCCATCTTAGTACGTCACAATTCTCCTGTGCCAATCAGCATTTCTTCTAGCGACCAGATAGGCCTTCCTAGTTGCCTCAACAGCTCATTCCCTACGAACAGTTGTGTGTGTGGTAAAGTAGATTGCGCGTTCGGTGCCAGGAGCATAACCGAATCTTGACCGTGATTTAAGTAGAATGGTGATTGATAGGTGATTGCTGAGGTGTTGTTGTATGCATTCCAGCATCAGCAAGAAAATTTTCCAAGTAGCCAGATTGTTGTGCTAGGTATGAATCAGCAGCTCGAGCGTCAGATTGGTCCGCTCCATTTGTCCATCGTTTTCATGGTGGTAGGATGATGTAAACTGCAAACAATTACCGAACTGTTCCCAAGGGGGCGCTAGAAATTACTAGTGAACTTCGTCTCACGATCGCTGATAATGGTGCTCGACAATCCATGTTCATGAAGCACTGTAGCCTATTTTGTCGTATTGCTCGTAATGCATGCTGCAAAGTGCGCCATCTTCGTCAGCCGGTCTACGACGACGAACAGCACATCGCTTCTACTTGGGCCAGTTAGTAACTCCGTGACAATATGCATCATCACCTACTGTCGAGGTCGTTCATGGGGCGGAATTGATTGGAGCTGGCCGGCAGGCTTTGACCTGGTTTTTTCCTGACCTCGCATGTGGGGCAACTTGCCACACGTGGCTCCATATTACTAACCATATATTGCTAGAGTAGTACCGCTGCAGCTGCTGGCGTGTTTTTTTTACACCCTATTGCCCGTAGGCATTCTCATCATGTGCTTTTTGCATCAACAGCTGTTGAGAATAGCCCTGGTCCTGCGAAGGTTGCAGAAGTCTGCGGAAGCGGCGTATCAACAAAGTCTGCGAACACGAGCCCTGCAGAAAGGCCCATCGATGAAGAGCAGATTTTTTGACAAGGCGAGGCTCTGCGGGAAGTGGCAGAAGAGCAGCTTTCGTTGGTGGCAGAAAAGCGGTTCTGTCGGAGTGGCAGAACAGGAGCGCGTTTTCTGCATATGCCTTCTACAGATTTCTGGGCTTCTGTAGAAGCGGTCGCAGCAGAATCGAGAGTGTACAAGACCCTCTGCGGAATGGCACCAGGGACCATTCGCAGAAGGGTTGTCCTCTGCAGAAGTATCGCGCAGAAGACATTTCTGCGGGCGACCCTTTCGGCAGAAGCGACTCTACAAAAATGTGTTCCAGCAGGACCTCGGGCAGAGTGGCGCAAGAACCTGTTCGCGCAAAATTGCGTTCTGCGGGAGTTCGGCAGAAATGCAATTCGGCTATCTCTTCTGTGACGACCCCCTCGGCAGAAACGAAATTCGGCAGAAGTGCAGCAAGAGAGTCATCTCGGGCAGGGCTTCTGCTAGGTTCCTGCGCCGCTCGGACGTTCAGGGCGCCCCTCGAAGCTTACCCTGAAAAAAAACGTCACGGCGAAATCGTGCCCTTACGAAAAGGGCTCGCACCAGATCCCCTCGGCCAAATCCGAGCTGCCTTTAAAAACGCTCTTTTATCTGTCTAGTTACGTTACATTACAAATCGCATATATGAATTGTCCATAAAATTCAAGTTATTAATGCATGCAATGTCTAAAAAAGGTTTAGAGGTACACTAGCCAAGAACTCACATCACACCAACCTTACTCGCGTCACGGACGGAAACAGCGAGCGAGATTTGAGGGGCCAACTGACTAGAGGGGCGAGATTACTGGAGGAGCTGAAATGGCTGGTGGACGAGCGAGATGAGGTCCGCGAGCTGACTACAGGGCAGGGCAGCACACGTGAGGTGAGGAGGAAGTTCTCTCTCGCAGGGGGGGGGGTGGGGTGGGGGTCGGGGTCTGGCTATGGGTAGCCTCAAACTACTCTCGGACGAAAAGGCTGGCACCGAAAAGTCCCCTGAAAATCAACGAGAAAGTAAAATTTCAACTCTTTTTTTCAAGGGCTGCCTCTAAAAAAACCCTGAAAATCAGTCAAGAACGGGCATTCACCCTGTTAGCATAAGCCCTGATCTCGGGCCTTCACTTCTGCGAGCGACCCTTCGACAGAAATAACGAGGACTTAGTTTTTCTGATGAAGGTACGTTCCGAAATCGCGAGAAAATCGCGATTTCGTAAGTTAACCTCAGAACCGATCTGGACCGAAAAACGGCAAAATCTACCTGCGACATTGAGAAATTGAACACGTGACGCACATTTCGTAACTGCGGAAATATGCGTAACATCGGACAGTTTCATATCTGAAACTGTTAGAATAACTACTTCTAAGTGGGTAACAATTACCAGCTAAGCATGTGCTGTAATTTTCACCTGCCATTGCTGACTTGGCTAAGCACAGCTTAAAGTAGTTATGTAAACGTTCTTGTGCGAACGTTCTCGCCATGTTCAATGAGGTTCAATGGGGTAGTACTAGTGTTTGCCTTGTGTACCATACTTTGTAATCTTGATTCTAGTGAATTTGTGTGCCTAAGCTTTCTCAAAAGCTACTCTGTGAAACACACAATTCTGAAGGCAACTTTCTC